CCCAGCCCCCCGCACGTTGATACGGCCTTGAGAAGTAATAAACCGACGATTTGTTAAATGTTATCCATGTAAATGCCATGATTTCGTAAATCAGTTTATACTGACAATACAATTATATTATATCTTCTCTATTTAACAACTAAAATTTTGTTATACAATTATTGCAGTAATTTTCCGAATGGCTACCTGATTTTCAGAATATGTTAATTTAAAAAAAGTTTGGGTGGGGTTAACAACCCCCCCCCAATACCCCCTTGCTACGGCCCTGACTCCACACCCGCCTGGCTTGCGAAGTTCAGCACGCATCGCCGAAGAAACATATACATGTCTTCTACACAAACTGAACGATCAAACGGAATTTAAATGAACGATATGGTTGTTTATAGTTGAAGTGTATCCTGTCCGACATTCAAAACAAAGGATTTATTTTTTAACTGGATCCTTTGATTTCCCAAACATCGCCAGATATCTGTAAACAATAGTGCTATCTTGACTGTGAAAGCACAGTAGTAAAACCCGTTATGAACTGTAAAATTCCTTTCATTTACGTCGCTGAAACTGAACGATCAAGAATGATTATGTTGAAGTATAGCTATCTGTTATCCTCCATGCGTTTCCGTGCGTGCGGTACAACTTGAATATTTAGGACGATATATATGCACCAGACACTGGTATTGTACTTTATAGTAAATTATTTCATATTTCGTGTATTATTGTAATTTACATCAGGTACATTATAAATCTTATAAAGACCTTTCATTGGCATTGCCATTGCTCATTCAGGGCTTTATTTGAAATATTATACCTCAAATTCAAATTGACAGTCAGTGGCGAAGCTAGAGGTCGTGCTAGTCGTGCTGAGCACGAGTAAAAATTCTTCAAAGAAAATAATTTTTTGTCTTAAAAAAATACCCCCCAAATTTTAAAAATGATTCGTGGTACACTTGCGTCATCTATTAATTGCAAAATCCTTTCAAATCCGGTGATTTTGCTCTGATTTTAAACCAATTCAAGGTATGATTGTGTAGTTTGACCCGACCGCCGGCTAATAGCACGACTAATGGTAATCCACCCGTTAGTCGTGCTCTCGTCAGGCGAGTACGACCAAATTATAAATTCCAACGCATTCTATTGTCTAAATTGCTCCTCGCGCATGCGTATCTCGCCAAAAATTGTGCAAGACAGTCCATATTTTGACTCTGTGTGATTAAATGTTGTTTCCGAAGAATCTTTTTTTGCGCAAGGCCTTTTTTGCGGGTTTTTAGTAACAGCTTTCCTACACTAATTAAAAATAGGTACGCTACGCGTACATGAATCTACGAATAGCAATAAATCAGGGTGAAGAAAGAGAGGGCGTAGAAACGCCAATACATCGAGCGGTCCCATCCGTGATGCGGGCTTCGCGGGGGGTAAGACGTTCTAATTGTAAACAAATATGGCTACGCGTATATGACCCATCATCAGAAGGTATGCTGAAACTAAAAGTATAAAATATTACTTGTGTAAAATTTATATGTTTTTGTTACTTTCAGCTATTATAAGAAACTTAAAGATAAGATTTAAGTAACAAAAAACTTTATTTCGGGTGTTATTTTATTTGTATACTCTGTTTAATTTGGTGTTTAAAAATGGCCGTCGAAATGTTGTAAGAGAGTGTTAGCGCGCACTGCTTCCTGATAAAAAACCAATGATTTCCAAAACCTAAGTTATAATTTGTAATTAAGTTATGATGAAAACCTTTGCGTATACAAAGTTATGGAGTGAGTAAACATGAGACAGATAGGGTTTGAACCTTTCAAAGTTCGAGGTCGAATTGACAGTTGAAATAGTACCAAACTCCAAGCTGAAATGTGCAACTAAATCGTGTATATTTTTGTCAATTTTGTTCGCTGGCTTTGTTAACTTCACTTGCAATGGCTCGACATAAGTTACAACATACAAACTGAGCAGAGCCCATGAAAAAGCTATCCATAGTCCATACCCATACAGTCATTCAGCTTCCTTGCTATTTAGAAATTGTTGCCCATTAGTTGAAGAAGAATTGCTATTGTATGCGCTTGTTTGCACTTCCTTTTCTGAAAAAAGTCTACAATATTAAGGCTAAATAGCAGAAAAATATGACCCAGTAATCCATGCAATTAAAAATATCTATCAAATTTTAACTTCAAAAATCATGGTTTGAGGAATTATACTATTTAGGCAATCAACCCATAATTTAGTGACAGATCTTGGGATTGGTGTACTACAAAACTATATTGACTGAAGTTTTGGAAAAATTTAGCCAACTTTTGAAGGATTTTATTAGGTCCAGTTCACATGAGACTCGAACGAAGTCAATTAACCGGGATCATTTCATTTTAGTCATTATATTATATATAATAGATGTTTACATGAGGTCTCAAGTCATTCTGCCTGCTGGACCAAGCTGACTGACTCAGACCAGTATGAGTTCAGACGGGAATGAATGTTGACATTGGAACAAGTGAAGAACACATGCTAACAAAAGTCATCTAAAAAAGAAAATTGCCTGGCAAGGGGAATAAATTGAAAATTTTGTGATTTTCATACTGGTCTCATGTAAACATGTTGACATGCAATTTTAATTT